TTCCCATCAATGGGACAAAATACCCAGCACCCACAGCTTAAAGGAGGAAACATTTATTTTGACTCAGTTAGCTGGCCTCAAGGCAGAAACAGCATGGTCGGGAGGCTTGGTGGAGGAAAGCTGCTCACTCCACAGCAGGAATCAGTGAGAGGGCAGAAGAGCCAGGGACATGGATATACCCTTCCAGCTCATGGCCTAGTGAGCAGTCTCCAACCAGGCCCCACCTCCTGAGAGCATGTTCAGGTACTGAACTTGCAGATGGATGAGTGCACTCATGCGTATAGCATCCCCATAATCCAGACACCTTCCACACAGAAGAATTACAGTGGACATTTTCGATCTAAATCATCACATCCAGCTTAGTCGTTGAAACACAGATAGACTACACAAAAGGGCAGTGTATCTTTCTACCTTAAGGTTATCAGGTTTGCTTCAGTCCAGGTAACAAAACTTGTGTCAGCCATTGATTGGATTTTCAGTTCAGCCTTCAGGTTGGCCAATTTGTAAAGACAAATTATTCTCAGGCGCTGCCAGTCTGTTGGCTGTCACTCTTTGAGGTGGGAGTGAAAGTGAGTCTTCATTGACTGTTTCATAAATTGGAAGGAGATAGAAAAAAGTAACTAAAAGCTTTTTAAAAAGAGGTCAAATTTTAATTGTATCAACCAAGAAACACCATTCAGTGTACAGATAGCCAATCTTTCACTGGTTTTTAAGGACAAAATTCACCTGCTTTTGTTTTTCTGTTTTCGCCTTAAAGGTTTTCTGACAAACCTGATCCTGATGATTCCTGGCCTACGTCAGAGGAGGATGACTATAATTTTGATAACAAGGTAAAGTACTCTTTTGTGAAATTCATTTTCTTCCTCTAAGTTGTGCTTTGTATAGTGCTTAGTCTTAAAATTTAGCAGTAGTGTACCTACCATGGTTTTATATGGAAAATTTTTTTTCTTTTTCCTTTGGTAAATAGCTGGTATGTACTCTGAGGTACTGGGGACTGAAAAAAGTAATGGGTTCGAAACTACGTAGTGACAGGAGAATTGAATTAGGCAAAGCTTTCTCACAATAGAGGAAATATGAAATTTGGTCAAGGATTATTTTGGTAAGTATACCTTACTGTGACTTTTAAATCATACTATCATAACTTTTATAATTCTCATGCCTAAATAAATCTTAAAATGGATCCTATTAGTCTTTATAATAATCATGGAATTTTGGTGCCTTGATTTTCAAAACTTTACAGCACATAAAATATATTTCTTTCTTTAAACAACTAGAAATTGTTTAGACTTAGAAATTTTAAATATTTCTTAAAATTTGTATTACTACAGAATTACAGTATTTTTTGGTTGTTATTTTGCTTCTGGGAGTTGATTGTAGGGCCTTTGCAATAAGCTACACCCTCAGTCCCCTATGTATCTATCTATCTATCTATCTGTCTATCTTAGTCAACAAAATTGCCTCACAAAATTGCCCAAGCTAGGCTGGAACCTGGAGTCCTTGGGCCTCACCTCCAGAGTGCTAGGATTAATGTGGCGCCACATCTGACTGCACTGTGTTTTCTCAGTCATTCTTCCATTAGAAAGTACTGTATTTAGGGTTCTTCATCTGATTGAAGAATACATGTTTTACCCAAAGTACTAACCAGTTCTAGGACTAGATACTCTCAATATGGTAAATCTTGAAAAATTTTTTTTTGCTTTATAGTTTTTAAAAATATCCAATCAGAGGGCTGAGGATTTAGCTCAGTGGTTCTGCCACCTGGCTCGCAAGTGCAAGATCCTGAGTTCTATCCCTGGTACCAAAACAACAAAAAAATCCAATCAGAGTCCTTGTATCTCATTCTAACATATCAAGTTTCAGGAGTTTTTCTACTTCAAAACATTAATTTTAAAGCTCTTGCATTACCATGAGCTACTAGAGATTAAGAAATATGTTTGTGTGTATCCTGAACACTTGGAATAAGGTGTTTTGTATCTTAATACAGCAATATTTTTTTAATGTCAATAAATGGATTTCTACATAGTAGAATTTTACAAGTAGTATATGCATAATTTATGTAATAGTCAAGTCTATTAAATTTCTAAAAGTATAGCCTAAATTATATTTCCTTTTAATGTTTAGAATATATAATTTCAGGTGAGTTATCTTGACGAAATATGTCATAAATAAGAAGGAAACAAATTAGAGGTATATAAATAGGAATGAAGGTTACAGTACATACTAGTATCCTTTAACTCTGAACCTAGGTTAGGATTTTATATTAAAATATCTTAAACTTTTTTTTAGCACACTCCATGTTCTACTAAATACATCTTTTCAAGATGTACATTTCTCTTTAG